ATAAAACTTCATGATAAACTTAGTCATCTAGGCTTTACATGGGATACAAAAAGTTCCCCTTTTGCCTCACTTAATAAATCAAACATTGATCATCAAATATCTAATTTCCGGACGGTAATCCAAACCTTAATTCAATCAGGAATCCGTTTTGCTCACCCAAACTCCATTGTTCAGTTATATAAAACTTTAGCTGTTCTAACTAACGTATGGTCTTGAGCTGTGTGAACATAAAAAAATGTTAATGCAAAAGCTTGATATAGTTGGAAGTAATGCACTTAAGTCACTCCTCGATGTTTCAAAACATAGCAAAAATTATATTCATACCTTATTTTTTATTGAAGATATATCAATTATTATACAACAAAACAAGCTAAACTTATTTATTCGTTTGATGAACAATAAAATGACATACGATATTATTAGGTCGCAGCTGAAAAACAAAACAGCTCCACAACATTTTTTAGATGGTATCAAAGGGTTGTGCAATAATCATGAACTAAATCTGGAGACAATAATGGAAAGTAAAAAAAAAATAAAAATTGTCGGCCTCAAAAATTTAATTCCTAAAACGGATCTTCAATCTCTAGAATGTGCAGTTGAGTACTGGAACTTAAAAGAGCAGAGAACTATCTTCAAGGACATTCTTGAAAAACATATTCCAAGATGATCACGTTGAAAAAAAAAAAAAAAAAAAAAAAAAAAAAATTTCCAAGATTTTTTATATTTATCTTGTATAAAACTCTTAATTTACCTTACTTGTATAGTGGGTGTTTAATAAATCTGAAATAAATAAAAATTGCTTTTCTACGCAATTCAATTATATCTTTATCAAATTTATCACATCATTCAAACGCTTTGCGTTACTAATAGCATAAATTAATGGCATAACTAGTCAACATACAACTTTGGCTAAACTAGTCAACATATGATTAACAGTCAATATATGAGTAACTAGTCAACATATGATTAACAGTCCATATATTTCAGCCTATAGGCTGAAAATAGATAAAAACTGTCACAAAATAAAATATATTAAATATTGGAAGCGATAATTGCCGGGAGTGCTGGCAAGTAATTTCGAAACTAGTTGCCAGCAGCGTAAACAATAAAAGAAACTATTTGAATGTAATATTTACTAGTAAGATAATTTTTTATTTAAAAGAATGCTGGCCCGAATGGTTGTATCAGTTGATCCATGTATCCTTTGCTTCGCCTTCGACTATATCAGTTTACATTTGACCATGTATGCACACTATGATGCATCTGTTAAGTAAAAACTTAAAAAAAGTTGTAAGTAGTTGGCAATGTTATAACAAATAAAATTATGTGCATTTGAAGTAGATTTTACTTTTTACTGTTTTTTACTGAAATTTTGTTTTACTGTAAAACATAAAATTTCAGAAATGTATATATATTGCAATTATTATTTCACAAAATTAAATATTCAAAGATTTTAAAATGTATCAACCATAAGAAGATTTTATAATTTATAAATAAAAGATAAGTATATCGTTAGTAACTACTTATAGGTTATATCATATCATGAAAAATAATAATAATATAATTATTACAAGTTTGTTGCGCAAATTTAAGCATTACGTCATTTTGACTTATAAAATATATTTGAAAACTGTCAAAAATTGCGTGACGTACTTTATGGACAACCCATTTGTTCAACTGATTAAGTTATTTAAAGAATATAAAGTAAACATCTGAAAAATAACGATTTACAAACATAAAATAATGATAAAATAATTATTGATGACGTCAATGGTATAGCATTATCATATATATATATATATATATATATATATATATATATATATATATATATATATATATATATATATATATATATATATATATATATATATATATATATATATATATATATATATATATATATATATATATATATATATATATATATATATATATATATATATACATATATATATATATATATATATATATATATATATATATATATATATATATATATACATATATATATATATATATATATATATATATATATATATATATATATATATATATATATATATATATATATATATATATATATATATGTATATATATATATATATATATATATATATATATATATATATATATATATATATATATATATATATATATATATATATATATATATATATATTCATATATATTTAAAACATATATTTATATAACTTTATTACATTGATGTGATGATGCTGCACCATTGACGTCAACGATAATTATTTATATAATTATATATATATATATGTATATATATATATATATATATATATATATATATATATATATATATATATATATATATATATATATATATATATATATATATATATATATATATATATATATATATATATATATATATATATATATATATATATATATGTATGTATATATATATATATATATATATGTACCAGGGCAAGATCCAGTCTTTTTTGATGTTTGATAGCTAACTTAACCAGGCAAAAAGCAAACTCCAAATATTTATATGTTTATAATAATGTCAAACATGGATACTTTGCAAAATATAGCAATGATTGGAGCCTGAAAACAAAAAAGCCCGAAATTTTCGCCCTTGCCACAAACATGAGAGCAACAACTCGTTAAAAAAATTTTTTTGCTGTTCTTAAATAAATTTATTTTCATCGATAAACTTTAAATTTCATTGTATTATTTCTCAGCGGTCAAAAATTACGACTATATAAAATTTAAGGTGGTTGCAAATTTATATATGGTTGTATATATGATATAGCACTGAAACAGGTACTATAACACTTTACTGTAATGGGTGCTACAGGCAGTCTCAGAGTCTATGAATGGCACCCCTCCAGCCGTATAAACATTTACTTTCATGAATTAATCGTGAAATACAGGAAGTATTGCTTGGATTACTTGTACAAAATTTACATTATATCCAGCTAATGGACTTGTTTATTGCCCTTGACACACATAATGATTATTTGACTAAAGAATCATCTTCTTGAACTAACGCTATAAATGTTTCACCTTTTGATATTTTCTTTGTATCATTTTTTTATCAAATGAGTTGATGTCATTTTTTGTTTTGTGGATAAATTTTGATTATTGTGCACTAAAAATATCAAAAAAATTTTAATTATACAATTTTTAAAGTTTTCATTAATAATATTGTTTCAAAATATTTTTAGAAAACGTGAAAGATAAAGGTAAAGGTTTTTTTTACACCGGTTAAGGATTTTTTTTACACCGAGATACCAATAATAAAGAAGTTTGATAATTTTGCCACCCAACGGATTTAAACCCTCAGGGGCTCTTGGCTGAATTGATTTTCGGGGCTCTCTTAAATATTCTGAAAACCGTTAATGATAACCATTATAAAATATATATAACCCAGGAAAAAATGTTCTATAACATTTCTATAAACTTTTGAAACATATAGTCTATAAAAATTCTATTGAATTCTTTAGAATTTCTATAGAATGTCTGTTAATTTCTATAGAAATTTCTAAAGAACTTTTTTTTCTACTTTTTTTTTTTTAATTTTTTTTTCTATAGGAATAAAAGTTTTAAAGCGGTTTCTCATCGAAATTAATAGATATTCTATAGAAATTCTATTGAAATTCTATAAAATTTCTATAGGCCATATGTTTCAAAAATCTATAGAAATTCTATAGAACTTTTTTTCTTGGAAACATTTCACTGTAATTTGCTTTTGTATCTTTAACTCTTAGTTTAGCGCTACGGCTGTTGCGCTAATCAAATCTCAATAAACGTTAATCGTTTGGAGTGGCTGCTTTTATTAAACAATTAATTTCCCCCTTGGGAATATGTATAAATAGCATGCTTATCGAAGCCTCGCTCTCTTGGAGTAACCTATCAAACATCAACGGACTCGAGCAACTCTTTTACGGCTAGCTTTTATGTACAATATCTTTTTTGTGTTTATCGCATATTTGCATATAACATATTAATTTAATAAATTGAACTCGTTTTATAATAAGACTCTTACCTAAAACAACAACGGCTTTTGTATAGGTTTGTTCTAGAAATCAGTGTTGCGGTTGTTAATGAACTTTACAAACTATTAATAATTGTCCAATTGCTAAATTCGGGTTTTTATAAAATAGGTAATTTTGGCCCAGTGTCTATGAGTATGTTTTACGTTAAATGTTAAGGTTCCAAACTTATTTAAAAATGAAAAACTTCTATTATCCTAAAGTTTAAATAACTTTGATTTATCTGCAAAGCTGTGTATTATTTATGATGTTGTTATTAATTTATATTATGTGTAATTTAGGTTGTTATGTGTAATTTATGTTGTTGTGTGCAATTTATAGGTACTTTAATTTTATATACGTCTTGCGTTTTTTAACCATATTTATTGAGCTGGTGAAAATCAGCACGGTGTAAATCAAAAAGAAAAAAATGAGTCAAGTCAATATTTATGATTACAAAGCATCACTCTGTGAAATTGGAGACTGGTATCTAATTTTATGTTGTCTAAGAAACTGGCAACTGTTTTTTTTTTTGTTGTTGTTTTTTTTGTTTGCAGGATTTTTCTAAACAGTAAAAGTTTTTCTCTTCAGTAAAAATCATATCATAAAAATCTCAAAATGAAACGTTGACTTACATTGACTTACACCACTGTGATTCTCGCCGGCACAATTGATATTTACTATACATATAAACTAACTTGAACTTAATTATACAAAAAAAAAAAACCTAACTAAATTAATAATACAAAATAAAATACATTTTTCAAAAAAAATAGATACTTAAAGATTTTTTTTTTAAAAAAGATTCACAGATAAAAAAGTTTTTTAAAAAAAATAAAATTAAAAAAATAATAATAAAAAAATATAAATAATAATTTTTAAAAGAGATTCAAATGAATAAATTAATGAGTAATTTAAATTAATGGAAGTTTACTCATTCTTTGTAGATTGCAATAAACTGCAGCAATATAAATGTATTACCTTGATTATATGCTTGCGACGCATAAATCATAGCCAATCCTAGTAAAATTCTACCAAGCATCTTAATTTCTTTCTTTTTTAGAGTTTTGTGACCGTCACCTTTTAATTAAGAAAAAGTAAAAATCTTTTAGAATGCAAATATTAAATGCCTCTTGTTTGTTTGACTGTACAACAATAAAAAATTATTGAAAGTTGAGGTTATTAAAACAGCATGATTCATTAAACAACATCATTCATTTTTTTTTTTTTTTTGCTTTGAAAGCTTTGCAACATTTAAAAAACTGTAGAAGCAAAAATAAATTATCAGTAACTATGGACACTAACATAATTATTGTAAAAATTGGTGTAAATATTTTACAAAAAATCTTCAGCCTGAGAAAGATTAGGTGGTCCGATTTTAGCACATTACTTTTTGCTAAATTAGCAATGGGTTTTTGTATTTGCAACTTTGTCTTTTCCATTTCAAACTTACAAATTTTTATTCTTTTATAATTACAGTGTATTTACTTGGTGCTAATTTATTTGAGTTGAATAAATTAAATTTATTAATAATAGCATTATTAATATTATTAAAAAATAAAATACAAAAAGTTCAAAAATGGCATTTTGATTCAAGACAGGAAAAAGATTTTTTGACTTACATCTTGTTATTATTTATTTGTGACAACAACAATTTATAATTTATAATTTATAACAACAATAATTTCACATTTAAAATCGGAAATCAACTCGGTGGGAAATGAGCGACTAGCTAGGTTTGTAACGATTTTTGAGTGATTTTTTTATGACTTTATTGTTTTATTATGTTTTTTAGGTTCTTAAAAATTAGACATTTAGTATTAGATTTGATATCTTTATGATAATTAATAATAATTTATGATAATAGTTAAACTTTAAACTGTACTATTTTATTACGACATGTTGCTATCTAGAGATTGAAACTATCGACTAACTAAATATAATACTCAATTAACTATCGATATTACTCGATTAACTATCGATATTACTCGATTAACTATCGATATTACTCGATTAACTATCGATATTACTCGATTAACTATCGATATTACTCGATTAACTATCGATATTACTCGATTAACTATCGATATTACTCGATTAACTATTGATATTACTCTGATATATTTTTAGCTGCATTATAGTTAGCCAAAAATTAACAACAAATCTAAACCTAGTTGATTTCTACATACCGCAGCGTTGTAGCGTGCGACATTATTACGATATATCAATACCTAGCAAACATTGTTATAGTGATTTGCAGTGGACCTAAACAGGAATTTTTTAGCGGTTCATTGGAGTTTTGCTCTTTTTATGCAATTTTTGCTTCCAATTTTATGAAATTAAACTACCAATAATTGTAACTAAAGAAACACAAACTAAACAAAAATTGCAGAAACTACATCTAAAGAAATTAAACTTGAAGGGCATTATCATTATAAGAAACCAAAACTAAGGAATTTTTTTTAACCGCAAAAAGTAACCTTATGCGTAAAAAATTGCGTTAATAATGTTTAAAAGAACCAATTGGTGTTTTAAAATGCAAGTTGTAAATACAGTTTTGTTTCTAATTTTAAAATTTTTTGTTGAGTCATTTTATGAAAACCCATCTTGCCCTATTCGCCATGTTGCCCCGCATTCCTCTATGTATATAGATCCTAGCGAGCATAGATGTACGTAAGACGTCTATACATATAAATTTTTCTTACTAGATTAAAAAATCATTAATATATATAAATTGTCCTTAACTACATTGAGAACTTATTCAACAAACGTTCTGTGGCCGCTGGGATATGTATATACATATCGCTGGTGTTTAATTAGCAACTTTAAAACAATATGTTTATAGCTACATATTGTAGATTTGTAGTGATATCTATAGAATGGCTAGTTTTAAAATAACATGTTGATAGCTACATATTGCAGCATTCTAGCAATATCTATTAATATTGTTAGCTAGATTGCTGTAGTGTGTGGCATAGCGACATACCTGTATCAACTCCATTGCTACATATCGTAGATTTGTTGCTATCATCATAAATGCGGTAGTGGTGTAGTAAGAGAGAGGTTCGGAGTTCGACTCCCACCACGTCCCTGGAAGTACCACGCTCTTAATTTCTCCGCGCAACAGTCTTGCTTGTCAAGGTTCGTGTTTCGGAATTAAAGAGTTGAGAGAGGGTTGTACCAAGATTTACAACAAAAAAAAAAAATAACGAAATAAAATTTAAAAAAAAAAAAAAAAAATGAGTAGCCTCCTTGACTGTGGTGGCCCCTTCGGGCCTTGGGGAGGTGACTAATTAAAAAAAAAAAAATGTTTTAGATAAAAGTGATAAATTAATAAAAAATATAACCGTTGTGTCAAATTATCTGCTGATATCTAAAAAACTTTTTTGACTTGACAAAATATAAGAGGACTTAGAAGCTCAAATTAGGTCACAAGTCTCGTATTTAAGCTCTTAAACCATTTTAATAAAGGAAAATTTGTAAATATCTTCGGCTATGTAAATTTTAGGTAATATTTACAATTAATATTGTAAAGCAACGCTAATCTGTTATCATTAGCGTTGTTTTACAAAATCAGAAATAGCTGCACATTTTTGCGAAATGTTCAAGAGCGATAAGATGAAAAAGAAAACTTTAGAAATCAAAGACAAAAGTAAGGTAACACAGCGATAAATAAGAATTAAAAAAAAACTCTTTTTGCGTCACTTTCGCTTTTAAACTTTTCTCTTTAACGTACCACTATTGTTAACGTACTACTATTGTTAACGTAGCAAAGTAAAGTTAAGGATAACAAACACCAAGTGCATACTGAGCTTTACAAAGCGGCAGATGTTTTTAAAAAAAATTGCGTTAAATAACACTGTCATTATCAATCTAAATAATATTATCTTTATTTAACTTTTTATAATTATTTAGCGTTTTATTAAACAAATATTGTTTTTGCTCTAATGCTTTTCGCTTTAACGACATTAAACTGATTTGCGTTGTGTTTAACTAAAATATTATTTGTACTTAAAAATTGATTTAGTTAAGATTGACTTGAATTTAAAAAAAATTGACTTAAGTAAGATTAAGATGAATCCCTAAAATAATAGTTTTTAAGGATAAAGATGAGTACAGCAAATAAAAGATTGCAACTTGTAAAACATGAGTAATTATGATTGGGGGGGGGGGGTGAATCTAAACGACTACCAAACTTAATTGACACTTGAAACTTGTACAAAAAGAATGCTCTTTAATTTTTGTTAATGTATGACAATGGTTGCCAGGGAGAACACATTAGGGTTACACATAACAGATATGAAACATGACAGATATAAACATTTAGAAAAAAAAAGTTGGTAAACACCTGCCGCTAGGTAAAGCTTAGTTTGCATACATCCTCTTTTTTTTGCAATTTCCATGGAAATAAAAGAGTCTAAAATAAACCTCAGCGGCTTGAAATCACTCATTTTATGTAAAACTGTGTTGACTATTATAACAAGTACCATCTAAATCAGAAAGCTATTGACAAAGCAATACAACCTGATCTCGCTAAAAATTGCAACTCGCCTGTCTCTATTGTGGAAAATTTGAACTTTTTTCACTTAACTTTTACTTACTATCAACATACCTTTAGTATACTCTATTTTGAATTTAAAAATAAAAGTACCTTTAGTATACTCTATTTTGAATGTTAATATTAGTTAATAATGTTAATATATCTTTAATATACTCTAGATAATGAAGACTTGATTGGTCAGACCAAAATATTCATTGGTCAGACCAAAAAATGAAGATATTCATTGGTATCAATGTGCACATTGGAGAAGAATAAAGATAAATCATAGTTCAGTTCTGATCTCTTTGCCTGTAACCTCTTTGAAAAACTTCACACAACCGACAGAATATGCGAGCAACTTAAGGCCATATTTGATGAGTATACCATTATATGATTATATGAGTAGTAATTTTGTTTCTAACATAAAAAGAATTTTCACAGAGCGTTTCCCTATTGAACAAGAAAGTAATTTACATAATCAAGATCACCTTGAAAACACGGAACCCTGTAATAACTTTGTTTAGATCCAATCTCCTTTAAACCACAATCTTAGATGCAACTTTTTATTTAATGTGGGTGGAGTATCATGCTTATTAACCCTGATGATTTGGAGGAGATGCGCCAAGAGTAAAAGGTAACTCTTGAATAAAATTTAACATTTTTTTGCTTTCTTTCTTGTGTTTATGAACTTTGTTTTTATTCTGAATACTATTTTTTTATATTTATTTATTACTTTATAAAGTAATTCAATCCACTTTTTTGTTGTGCAAGTAACCACTTTAAAGTTGAGTGTTACTAATAAACATATAATAGATTTAATAGCAAAATAAACGGTTTACAAAATGCTTGAATAGTTGAAGGTTGAATGAGTCTGGAAAACATAGAAATAGAAAAAGGTGCAAATTTACCGAACGACAATTCAAGCAACAATAAGTTTGGTTGATGGAACAAGGTATCATAGCTCGTTTGAGAAGCATTCATAATAGGATTAGTTATAAGAAAAATATATGAGCAACCATAATAGTATTGAATATAAAAAAATAAGAAACCTTACAAGGTAAGGAGACCTGTCTAGTAAAACAGGTCCAACTACGTTTACAATGCATTTTTAAACCAAGCTGTTACAGAATAGAGATCAGGTTCAATATTGGCTTTTTGTTCTAGGTAATCTAAAAGAGAAAACTTTTTCTCTAGTCAAAAGTACAAAGTTGAGTCGTCAACAAATAAATTACTTTAAATTAAGATTGTCAGGAAGATCATTAATAGAAATAAAAAGATCATTAATGGAGCTGAAAAACAATACAGGACCAAGCATAGAACCTTGAGGTACCTCAGAGGCTACTGGAAGTTAAAAAGAGTGTTTGTCTTCAAGGATGACTTTAACAAACTGCCAAAAAGAAAGAAATGATTTAATAATCTTAAACTATTTCCTAGACACAGGATTTCCAGGAAGTTTATGGAAAAGATCAGTCTGTCAATTTTTATAGAAAACCATTAAGTTTTGGAGAACACTTTCTTAAGACTATGATAAGAATGTTTATTGGACCGCAAGTTGGAGAACATTATAATTGAGAAATTACTTTAGCAACAGAAGCCGAAGTGATTCATATGTTTATTAATAGGTTAACCGAAATGGCTTAACTTTAACGTTAACCAAATCGCTTAGCTAAAAAGTCAACTGCAACGGCTGGAAGAGTATAACCATTAAATTAGAGTCAATTTAAAAAAATCTTGAAATTGGTTCTAAATTCAATTTAATTTAATTTAATATATATATTTGATTAATGAAAAAATAACTTTACAATGTTCTTGTTAAAAAAAATATATTTTGTAAATTCTGACAGAAACAAGTAGAAGACGATTCTTATTATCATCTTGCTCCATTGATAACGAAATACTTTTCTTTATTTACACGTTTAAAATATATACTTATATAAAATTATTTTTTTTCATATTTAAGAGTTTAACATACAACATTAAATAGAGGAACGTTTGTGTACCTAAGATTTTTTAGCTTAATTGAAGGTCCCAGACTTGTCTGAAAATGGTGAAACCATTATCATCACATCTCTATACTAATAGATATTAATTATATTGTATTAATACAGACCACTACAAAATCAGATTTGTTTCAAAAAAGACTGGAATAATTTGTTATAAGGAGACATTTTACTGGCTAATTTTTTCATTGGTCAGGAAAAACATTACAATTAAAGGAATAACGAAAATTTGGGTGAACTTATGTTATATAGTTAATAGATGGTAACTAAGCTAACGATACACCATGGATTCAAAAAGAATAAAAACATACATATAGTAACATACGGGTAAATAAACACCAGGCTAAAGGTTCGAAGAGAATACAAACGTAGATAGTAAATTACGAGTTTAGAAAACAAAAGTAGATACCACTATAAACACAACATATATGAAATAGTATTGATAACAGGAAGTACACTTTGTCTAGTCTTTGCTTAGAAATCAATACCTACAAAGCAGCAGTACGTGGAGCTGGTTGCACTAAACTACATGTTACGAGTAGCAGGATGTTCATGGTGGTGATATGCCTGACCTAACAAAAATATTTGTAATTACTAAATTTTATTCTAGCTTGATTTTAATTATTGTTGTTTTGTATTTTTTCTTTGTAATTATATTTAATAATGTGAACTACAAATTACAATAATAAAAAAAGTTATATAACTTAGCAATTAATATTGGTAATTAGTATTTATTGAGAATTTTAGTCCCAAATCTGGAGTAAACCTTTCGATAATTTATGGACCAACATTAGGAAGAGTCGGGTAGTCCCGGACACTTAAGGAAAATATAGATTGTGCATATGTGCTAACAGAAAAAAAGTGCCAAAAGACTTTTTTTAAAAGTTCGAACATTCATCTATCAAATTAGAAACAAAAAAATAATTATTGTGTATCTTAATAATATACAAAACATAAAAGAAAAAATGTTATATAAAAAGCATGTTTCAAAATTGGAAGCTAGCCCCGTACACATAATTTAACCATGATTTTACCTCTTTTTTACCAGTGTGACACAAATGTATTATATAATAATTTAACATTTGACTGTTTTCGACACATTTCTAAAAAAATCACCTTTAAAAATTGCCTCTGATATATATGGAATGAGAATGAAAATGTCATCATTTAAAAATAAAATCATAAGCTTTTTTAAAATGAAAATAAACACTTTAAAAACACTTTTTTCAAATCTAATGTTTTTTTATTGGAATTAAATGAATTACTGTTATAGGTTTGTGCATTATATTAAATGTATTATTATTTATATAAAAAAAGTTGTTTGTTATTAATATGTAAATAAATTAAGTTGTCCGGAGCCACCCTCCAAACATGTGTTCGATACCACCCGATCATACCTCATTCACAAATACTAGTTTTAAAACCAGTGAATTAAACTATTTTAAATTTTTTTTTAATAACTATTGTAAATAAAAATATATCTTTAATCATTAAAAAGTTATTAGTTTACATAAAAATTAGATATATTAATATGTGAATCAAATTAGACGATACGTCGCTCTTCTGGTGGTGGGAAACAAAATCTTGCCCTCCCAGTCATTCGCTTCGACACTTTATGATAGATATTTTGCATATGTCATATTTTCACTCAAATAATGTTATTCTAGTATTAAAAGGTACATAGCTTCTTTAGTTTAAGCTGTGCATCAAGTGTCCGGAGTTACCCGCCGTCCGGGTAACTCCGACTTTTCCCTAAGTTTAAATTGCAGTTTCTCTAACTAAAATTACACCGTGTTTTCTGGCATCTAAAAGGCGTCCATGAAATTCAAATGTAAGAAGCCAAATTTGAAAGTTCCTGTTTCACATCATCCCTATCCACACCTCGTCAACTAGAAAAGTGTTGATTAAATAGTATTAATGATCAAACAAATTTATCATGTAAAAAAACAGCTGTTGATCAAATCTCTGTTAATCAGATAGCTAAAAGTAAATATATACAAATTAATATGGCTGCAAGAGAATTCAAGCTATCAGAGAGTCCCCATTAATTTAATTTAGAAATAAGCCAAGAGTTTATACAGAAAATGAAACAAAGACGCTCTCGCATCTTTTTTTTTTAAACCTACTCTATAGAGAGAATAAAGTTTATAAATCTGTGAAAAGCTATACTAAATAGATTCTCCAATTGCTTGGAAACGAAAAGTGATAAGAGTGATAAGAATTTTCTAATGCTGAAGTTTAGATAGTATATAATAACAAATTACAATCCTCTCTCCACATTATTAATTTATTTTTATTGTTGTAAAATATAATACATCAATACAGCTATATAACAATTTTTTTACAAACATTTTCTTTCTAAAAAATTATTATTGACTATGAGATATATAAGAGTTAAGACTAGACAAAAGTAAGTTACTACTGCGTTGAATCAAAAGTGAGTGACTACTGGCTTGATTCAAAAGTGATTTGATATTGGCTTGACTTATAATTAGGTTACTACTGGAATTTATTTTAAAAGCCAAAATAAAAATGGGTAATAAACGGATAAAGAAAAGAGAAAAAAAGTTAAGAAAAAAATACTAAGTTAAATGCTTTTTAAGTTTTAAAAATTGTTTAAACAAAGAAACTGGAATGGCTTTTGAAACTAGTGTTTTACCAAAATCAAAAGTGAAGTTAAAATATTACCCCCATTACATAGCTAAATTAGATCTAAATTGTTTTAGGTAAATCAAAGTATTTTTTAACTGATATTTAAACAAAAAACTTAAAAAAAAAAAAAAACACTTTTTTTGTAAGCAACAATAATTAATATGATCTATTAATAATTATGACTATTTTCATATATATATATATATATATATATATATATATATATATATATATATATATATATATATATATATATATATATATATATATATATATATATATATATATATATATATGTGTGTGTGTATATATATGTATATATATACATAAATATACATAAATAGAAACATACATACATACATGCATTCATACATACATACATACATTCGTACATACATACATACATGCATACATACATACATACATACATACATACATACATACATACATACATACATACATACATACATACATACATACATACATACATACATACATACATACATACATACATACATACATACATACATACATACATACATACATACATACATACATACATACATACATACATACATACATACATACATACATACATACATACATACATACATACACACATACATACACACATACATATATGTGTGTATGTATATAATCAAAGTTTCTAAAAAAATTGAAAATGAAAAGTAAAAACTCACCGCAAACCAAAATCACACTTGAATCACAGTGAGGTTATAAAAACGTTACTTGTATATAAAAAAGCTTAGGAGGGATTGCATAAAGCAAACAAAACAATGAAACTTTAAGGTCAAATTTCAATTATTGTTTTTTTTTTGTTGAGGAAACTATAAATAAAAGAATATATAAAATAATTATTGTCCTTTGGTAAACGTAGAACTGAAATAATCACGAAAATTTAGTAAAAAACAAACTCCTAATAAATTGAAGGACTTTCTAAACTCCTAAGGTCAATTAGGAAGCTGAACTTGTTATACTTTATCGTATGTACAAGTTCTAAAAAACATATTTAAGGTTAGTTATTTACATTTAGGACATTTTAACTTTTGTAAAATGTCCTAAATGTAAATGACTTTAATATTTTTTATTACTATATAGAGTTATTTTTAAAAGTTTATAAAGTGATTTATTTTAATTTTAAACTTAAACAGGTTAAATTTGATAAATGGCCAGCTTTTAAGTTTTTCAAAATCTTCAAATATAAAAAAATAAGTGTTTTAAAATCTTCAAATATAAAAAAATAAGTTAATAGAATAGTTTTTGAACAAAAGAAAAAAAGTACGCAAGAAACAGTGACTGTAATAAACACTCCCTAAGTAAACAAAACCCTAAATAAAATACAACTAATTTATGTTTTTTTATCCTTTTTTTTTTTTTTAAGTTGATTTAGGTGCCCCAAGAAGTCCTTACGGTCTTATCACAGAGCACCGCGGAAGAGCATTTGATGGGAAGTTCACGCCTCCTTCCCAACCGATGTCACAAAACTTGCCCAGAGGCGGGGTTTGAACCACGGATCTTTTTTTTTTCAGAGGCGGGGTTTGAACCACGGATTACGTTTCTGAGGCAAGTGCACTACCACTGCGCCACGGCTGCATAATATCCAATGCCACGGCTGCATAATAGCCAATTATTCTATAAAAAAATTTGTGTTTTTTGAGTAAAATTTCCAATAAGTAAAGTGTTTTTTGTATCATATTTTTTTTGTTTCTAACAACCTCTGATATTATAATCTTTGTTGTTATTACTAACTTTTTCCCTAAAGGATCTCTATAATAATGATCATGACTCTCAGTCAGTTCATGAGGGCTACGAAAAACAAATGAGAAACTAATGAGCTTTCCTCCGCTTTCAAGATCTCCTCCTGAGCTCAATACGTGTGATTCAATGGGTTGTGAAATATTGGGGGCCTCAAACAATTCACCTGAAGCTAAGCTAAATGATTTTCTAAGTGACTCATTAGAGTTATAAGGAGAAATTTTATTCAACAGGAGAGAATGTGATGTTCAACCTAACTTGATAATAATTAATGATAACCCCTCTTTGTGGCCATTTGTTTTATGTCAGAAAGATCAAGATGTAATCATTTTAAATGGATCTCCTCAACATTATTTGAAGCAACAAGATTATCTCTAGGATTCTAAGAAGGGAATCTTTTCTTTAAATGTGTTTATCAATTATCTCCAAATATGTAAAAAGTAGCAAGAGGTTTTTTGGTTTGGAGCTCGACCACTAAGGCTCAATACAGTTTCTCTAGCTATCTCTTGGGCACAAAAGTAGTATTTTAAAACGGGGATTAGTATCTTCTTTGTTAAAAGGGAGGAACTAGAGATCGATGAAGGAAAATCATAGATTGCGTGAAACAACATTAATCCAGTCTATTGTACCAAAAGTTCTTAATAGATTAGAAAGAGGTATACATTAGTCTTTCCAACTCTACTTGTATAGATTCAGAGTTACAGAAGCGAATCAATTCTTAAAAGCTAAATAGAAGATAACTTTTCATGAAACTTTAGATGTGACTCTTTTCTTGGCTTCTAGGAGTTAATTTTTGGCTTAAATAACCATTTCTAGGTTACTTAAGGTTCTCTCAATATTATTTATATAATTTTTGTAATAACTTAGTCATCATTATTGTATCAAAACAGGTTTTCAGGTTTTGTTTGCAGGTGAAACAAAACACATGAATGGGAAAGTTTCTTACCGTTATGGAGCTTGCCTTACTGATCTTTTGACTATTTTGATTAAAGAAGGTTTGGCTAAAAAGGTGAGTTTAGACAATGTTATCGATATTTGGGTGGCCAGAAAAGCTCAACAAATTCATTTTTAAGCAATTTATTTACCTTTCTTTAAGATTTTATTGATTGATTTTTTGTTTAATAGTTTTAAAACTAATATTTTAATTTATATGTCAATTTTGATTAATTAACTGTTTCTCAATCGAGAGAATTAATAGTAACAAAAAAATGCAATGCTCTTTCAAAAATAGATAGTTGATGGGTTCACAAAACTTTGAAGTTTGTAATTTTTTTGCTTGAAATAGGGGCGCAGTTTTCCATTTTCGACCCGGAAGCTATTGGCTCTCTCGAAGGCCCAGATTTTAATTACTTAATGAGAAAATTAAGTTAAATCAAACTTGATTGGTTCTAGATTTAAAAAAAAACAATTTGATTAACATTGGACATCTATTTAACATTGTAGAACAAGATATTAGCAGTTAGTTCAATTTATTGCTTTTAGTTGCATTTTAGTCGCGTTTAGTTCACTTTTAGTCGCGTTTGTGGCATTGCAACAGTGACATAATAATAAATAAATTTAGGATTAAAAAGGAAGATTGAAGAACTAGTTCGAAAGGCGATCTGATACACTTAAAAAATTTTAATCCACATAAAAAAAAACAAATAAAATAAAAATCACAACTAAATTTAAAAACACTTAACACATAATTACAGAAAATTTAAGATGTCACAATTGAAAGAGATCTTGTGATTTTAAAGCAAAAGAATTATCATTGGTCGAATACTTAATGGATTGTTAGAAACGAGTTTATATCTGTTAAGAAGAAGATTTTGTATAATAATTTAGTACATCACAAAGAACTACAACTATAACTGTTACGCATAAAGTTGGCTTCAACAAAACCAATTTTGGCAAATAGAAAAATGGAGGCATGATAACGTCATTTAAATTAGTTATGACTGATTTATTTCGAAGAAAACTGTCTAGGTTTTGGACAACATACAATATACCTTGAAAAGACGTTTTTATAATTAATATGAAAAATAAATTCAAAACTCTTGTTTATTTGACGAGTTTTAATGTTAGTTTTTTTCCCTAACTATCTTGACCTTATTCCTAAAACTAAAGCGACATGAATGAAGAACAGGATGAATGGTTGTATCGAGACATAAACAAATTGAGGAAACAATAACCGTGACAACAGAATATCAAAATGATGAGCAATCGTTCTTCAGGTGAAAAAAAATACTTTACATTGGAAAAAATAAAACATAAAAAAAAAAGCTTTGTCACACTTAAAAATTTTAAGGAATATTCTTTTTAAGCCATGTTCTTGCATTGATTTGTTCGCAAGTTTTTTTTTTTTTTTTGCTGTTATTATCTCGACAAGTCTCCACAGTTTTTTAAGTAGCGTTGCAAGATCATAAAAAATAAAGTATCTTGTCCAGAGAGATTGTCAAAGAATTTAATAAACATTTAGCGTCTGTTGGACTAAGTCTTACCAGAGTTATTCTTAAAGTTAACAGTTGAAAACTTATTTTTCCATTACAACTATTACCTCGTTAATCTTAAATTATTTTTTGAAGAATTTAAAAATGCTTATAAATAAAAAAAGTCAAACAAAGGATTAAAACAAAGCATTAAGCATTAAAACAAAGCATAATTGTTTTAATGATGGAAAATTTTATTCCCTGATGATGGAAATGGAAACTTTATTGTAAGATCTTTTTATTTTTAAAAAATTGTAAATTTTCTTTAGCTTGATTAAAACAATGAGTTTTCCACAAGAACTAAAAGTAGAAAAAACCAACATTAAAAAGCGGTAAAATTACGAACATCAGTAATTATCGTTCAATTATAATTCTTTCTTTATTCTCTAATGTTTAAAAAAATTGCACAACAAAGTTTATAACCATCTTACTATTGACAATATATTATACAGCAATCAAGATGGATTCCAAAAAACAATTTACTAACATGCAAATCTTTAGTTTACTAGAAATACTTCTGACTCATTTGATAATTCTCAATTTACTTTGAATGTTTTCATTGATTTTGCAGAAGCTTTTGATACTACTTATTACAAAGTTTTAAAAAAAATTAGAGTGTGGAATAACTGGACATTAAAATAAGATTTATTAAATTCTCTGAAAAGTTACCTGAATAATCAAAAGCAGTTTGCTTATGCAGTTGAATATTTATCATTTAATTTTTTAAAATAAAACGTGGAAAGTTTATCAAGGATACACATTAGGGCCTCTCCTGTTTTTAATTTGAACTATTGAGATCTTCTAGTCTAATGATGTTTGCTGATTATTCAAACTTATTTCTCTTTCATAGTTCTTTTTTTTGATGGTATATTTTTTAAAAAGGTTATAATGACAATATTTATAGGTGTGTATATTGATATATTCAAAAATCTTACTTAAAAAAAACCCACATTGCCAACTTGTGAGGCAGAATTTCAAAGAGTATAGATATTTCATTCAAAACAAGAAACTTATCAAACAAGAATACTCTAATTCAATTATATTATTCTTTAACTCATTATCAGATCAGCTATGCAAACAATTCTTAGAGTAGTAATTATAAAAGTTAAATCTCTATATCGGCAACAACAACAATAACAACAACAACAACAACAACAACAACAACAACAACAACAACAACAACAACAACAACAACAACAACAACAACAACAATAAGCTTTTCTTTTCTTTTTTTTTAAAGTATATATATAAATATATAAGATAACAAAATTAATTATACTTAATTTTGTTATTCTTATAAGATTTAAAAAAATTAAATTATTGAGTTACAATAATATAAATAAATAAATGAAACTAAGTAATAGTAATAAATACTATAATAATTATATATAATATTTTACAATAAGTTAATGAATTATAAGAATGATGCAACCCCCTCAAATTGAAAGGGGTTTAAACTTAATATGGTCATAATTTTTAAACACTTAAATAAATTTTATATGAAATTTAAAATTTCTCGATGAATATAAGCCTAGTTGAAAATAGTACAAAAAATATTTCATCAACTTGTTGCTCTCACGTTGGGGGCAGGGGGGGCTAAGATTTTAGGGTTTCTTGTTCCCATTCTCCTATCGCAGAATTTTTTTTTTTTAAAAGAATCTTTTTGTCATACAAATAAACGTAAAAAAATTTGAAATATTCTTGTTGTTTATAACTTGGTTATTTCAAACATTTAAAAACCTTCCTTCGCCACTGTATATATATATGCTAATTTGATCCGAATTTAATAGCGATTATCTCAACTATATTTACATAAAGAATGTCACAATTTATTGATATATAATTATTGATATATGTATTTTCAAACCGCAAACAGATCAACTGACGAGAAATGAGCAGAGTTAGTTTGTTCGTTGGCGTAAATTAAAAATAAAAAAAGGTAAAATAAAAAAGAACTTTGAAGAACACAACAAAAAACACATTTATTACTATGATCAAAACCAACATATGTACTACTATGATCGAACACTTATAAATTGTTTTTGATCTAAAATATAAGTTAAAAACCAAACACTTACAGCACAATATACTTTGTAATCTTCTAATTTAGAATTCAAAATATTATGATCAAAGATATCTAAAGCTTTTTTTCGCCACAAACAAAATGACCCGTATCGAGAGTTTTTCTACTTTTTTTCAATTTTTACTTTTCAATGTGCGTCAAGTAAAATGCTTTGATCGAAAATCATTATATGACCCCTCCTCCTCCACAATTTAAATAAATTTTCATCTAAAGTGTGTAGAGGGAGGTGTTATAACTCCCTCCCCCCCCCCCCCTCTTCCCATTAAAGAAGACGATTTTCAAGTTATAGTCGGTTTTTTTAGGAATGTAGTTGGGTATTCGACACACTTGAGTTCGAACAATTTTTAGTTTTAAGGACCTTTTTTTAACAAGTAGTTTGTTCTTTTTAGAAACTCGACTCCCCAGCCCCCTTCCCTCCCCCTCCCCATCCTTCCATTGATTTTATTTTAAAAGCAATCCTTCCCTGGTGTCAAGGGGCAGATTCAGTATTTTTGGGTGATGCTGTTGCTTAATTATATCTGTACCAATAGTAAACGGATATCATTGATTATTTTAATACCACGAAAACAATTATTTCTATTGTTTTTCTTTTAAATGTTAGTTTTGGAAATGCTACTTTTCTCAGTGACGTTTTTACGTAAATATTTAAAGATTTTTTTTAATTTACTTTTTATTTATACCGTTTTTATTACTTCCGCAAAAAATAAAATCTATCACTTGAATTGAAATTTTATTTCTCACAAATTCTTATTTTTTCAGAAATTATTTCGGAAAAAATAACTCAAAACTTTATTGCTTGTTTGATAAAAACTAAAAATAAATTTAAAATTAAAATCTTTTCGACGAATTGTTTACCCAAGAAAAACAAAAAATAAATACTATAATAAAAATGTTTTAATTTTAGATATAATGCATTAAACGCCATCTTTTTATCCTTAAGCTGAGATTATTTTGTCGAAACAGTTTTTATTGACTATCAATATTTGGGTTTTACTTAATCTTATCATTAACAAACAACTTTTGCAGTTTTATTAAGCGACCTTTTTTTTTATATATTTATTGATTAAAGAGATAATAAAATATAAATAACTAATGCATTATAAAAAAAAAACATATTTCAACACTATTGTTCATTCACAACCACACAACTCACAGTTGGTATTAATAAATATTTCATAATATTATTTTATCATACAAAAGTTTTGTTTAAAAAAATTGAAATCTTACAATGCTATTTATATCAATATAATGCTATTAAATGATTTATATAAACTTTTATAACAAAAAAGTTGTTTTTCTATTTTGAAGTGCTATAGCCTCATTTTTCTTTTTTATGGTATATAGCTTAAATACACATACGGCAAGTATAACGGCACATATTACCCCGACTACAATTGTCGTAATAACCGTCGAAAAACTCAATGAGAAAGAGTCTAAATATAAAGAAAAATTCATTTATCATAAGTTAAAATAAATTTTACATATTTTTTAAAGAGGTTTTTTAAATTGTTATTATTAATATTATTATTATTAATTTCAAATAATATATATTTTTTTTATATTAGAATATACTATTATATTTTTATATTTAATGTTTTATAATATATACTTTATATTTTATAGTTAAAACTAATATAGACTAATTATAGGCTAATTGTAATAAATTTGAAAGTTCTGGAGTGACGTAAATAAAAGATGAAATTTAAACAAAAATACCTTCAACAACATTTATAAACTTTTTTTCAAATGGAATTGAACTTATTAATTCATTTTCTTTTTTAAAATCATTTTTTACAACACTTGGTGATGAACTGGAAAAGCTTGTGTGGCTTCCTGGTATAAATACGATCTCGCTAATCAGCAACCACGTGCTGTATTTAGTAAATATAAGTTTAATAAATCTTGCTTCAGCCTCAAAGTTTATAACTATAGCAAACGAAAAACGTTTTGCAACTAGGTCGCTTACTGGAGTATAACGTTTCACAAGGCTATACCTTTCTCCGTTTTTGCTTGACTCAATATCAACATGCTTAAATATCTTAATGTTTTCATCCTGATTCTTGATGTAGATTATAACTTTGTTGATAAATTTTTTTTTTGTAAGCTGAAATACAATTTCTGGTCTAATTGAATTAAATCCAACCCAAGGCGAATAATTGTTTTTCAATTCGCTATCTCTATAAATATCATCGGTGAGCATGCCCAGTCCACCAAATAAAGTTCCATTTTTTGTCCATCCATCATAACTTATGTCTGTCAAATCACTTCCTTCGCGTATTTCAGTGCTTTTGGTTGTATAACTTTTTAAGCCAGCTAAAAAAAAAAAGATTTTTAAGTAAAACAGTTATATATATATATATATATATATATATATATATATATATATATATATATATATATATATATATATATATATATATATATATATATATATATATATATATATATATATATATATATATATATATATATATATATATATATATATATGTATATATATATATATATATATATATATATATATATATATATATATATATATATATATATATATATATATATATATATACGCAAATAGTTAAATAACTATCATTAGAAAAGTTACACGCATAATGCATCCAATCACAACCATATAACTCCAATCTTAAACAATGTATAGCAAACTCATCCCCACGAGGATAAAGACGAATTGTTCTTGCAATGATTGGCCGCGTAAAATAATTTTTTACAATGTTTACGGAGTCTAGATTGCCATCAAACATCTAAATAAATTTCAGAAAAATAATTTATGTTTAGCAAATAAAATTGCAAAAAATAACCAATATTTAAAAGCTAATTATTAATTTTAATTTTTCTATTACATGCAACACCATGAAATGAGTAAAAAAATGTGTTATGCAAACCTTCCATACACCTGACTCGTTATATTTTCTGTAACTTGTTTCCTTATCATCTCGGAGATAATAGATTTGATACTTTTCGACATATTCGTTTGATTTGCTTTTACCTTGCGTGGCAACCGCACTTATTCTTTTATTTTTCAGAAGATCGATCTGAATATACTGATCTTTATAAGTTTCAGAATCAGCCGAACACCAACCTCCACTTGATTTGTTGTAGTTTAGACGCCCTAAGTACGGCGCATAATGAGTGTTTTTAGAAGTCTCAAAATATAACCAATGTGATGCTGTAATTTGATTGTCGTGTATTAAGCCATTTTCCATCCCTAATGGCTCGTCACAATCGGCTATACATACATACGTATATATTTAAACACACACACATATATATATATATATATATATATATATATATATATATATATATATATATATATATATTATATATATATATATATATATATATATATATATATATATATATACATGTCTTTATGCATGTTTGTATGAATGTATGTATGCATGTTTGTATGAATGTATGTATGCATGTTGTATATATGTATCAAAATTAAAAAATAGTTTTTGATAATTGTTATTTTTATTACATTTAGTTACGTACATCTTATCGTGGTGATCCAATGGTTAAACGCAATTGTGAATGTAAATAGTTTCATACCTAAAATAAAATATGCTAACAATATAGATACAAAATTACGAACAAATATGGAAGTATAAAACGGGCCACAAACAAATAACTCTAATTTTAAAAACACAAGTTAAATAAAAATAAACTATAAACTAAATCATTGCTTTTATGTTTAATAAAAACTTCATGCAACCTAAAATTAACGAAGCAATAATGCGTTTTGATGCATAACCTCAACGGAAGAGTGCATATAAATCATTTATTTATCATACTGACAGTCAAATCAAAGTTTTACATAAAAAAAAAGAAACAATATTTTAAGCTTATCCCCTAGAGTGCACTGTGCGAGTTGAATTTACTGAGTATTAATGGACTATTAACACCTAGTAAGTCCAAGACATAAAAAACATGTCTAGATACATCTATAACACATCTATTGTGAACATATAAATATGTCTAGACCTTTTTTAGGCATATAAAAGAGTTTCATTGTTTACCAAGAATGGTAAACTGATGACACATGAAGATCATCACAGAGAGCATTATATTGAGACCCATGCAACGTCATTGTGTGGAACGTGAATAAAAAAGAAAACAAAGAAAGAAAATTTTTATTTACAAAAATGAGTTATCAGCCCCTTAGTGTCCTTACTTACTTTTAAAGTAATCCATTTTTTTTTCTTTCCATCTTCTTTATTCATAATGTGAGAATGTGGTTTTGAAAAGGTAAAAAGTTTGAAACAAAAAAAAAAAAATTTAAGCTACTAAAAAATTTAAGCTCTTAATTCTCCACTTTTTAACATAGTTTTTTTTTAATATTTTTTATAAATATTTTTTAAGTCTAAAAAATATTTATAAAAAATTGATAAAACTTCAAATTGATTTGATTGCTGGATTTAAAAATTCTTTTTTACAAGAGTTCGGAGCCTGACTCAGCAGGACATTTTAACAATATTGAGTTGGGTTTCTAATAGACTTGTAAGTAAATAATTTATTTGTCTATGTAATTTTGAAAATAAGTTCATACATTGAAACGTTTAAAAAAATCTATAGACATAATTAAAGTTTAATTTTGCGCACCATGTGACACTCATTAAGTATAAATAAAGTTTATTTCTGTTGGGATTTTCACCACGTATTTTAAGTGTATATAAAGTTTAATACTAAAAGAAGTTTTTTTCACTGAAATAAACGAAAACGACAACAATATATTCAGACTTATATGGATTTTTTAAATTAACCATGTGTAAGCATGTACCATTGGGTACTCAATCAGTGGCGTAGCTAGGTAACCAAGGGCCCTAGGGCAAATTAAAAAATGGGGCCCCACTGCTATATAAACTGATTAGGTTTTATCAAATAAAAATATGAAATATACAAATACTTTAAAAATGCTAAGCTACTTAAGCTCTTTTTTGTGCACTGCAGGACAGGTAAAAAAAAATTAAACAGCAACAACATAAATTACAATTAATACTTGGTGTAGGTTTGACTAATAAAACGAAATAGAGAAGATTCAAGGGTTTATTATATAAAGGTCGGGCCTGCAAATTGACTAAATAACAATTATATTTACAATTTTTTCTTAGCTTTAGTTTTCGCAAAAGTATCAATGACTTCTTTTTAATCCAGGCTTGATGTGGTTTTGTTTTCAATTGCTATTAGCGATAAATGTCGGAGTCGAGTTTGGCCCATCTTATTTCTTGAATAATTTTTTATTATTTTTAATTTGCTAAATGACCTTGCAGCTGCTGCAGAAGTGATAGGAATTGTAAAGAATAATAAGATTGCTGTAAAAACATCCGTTAGGTCGCATTCTAGCACTCCATATTTGCTCATTATTTCCTTACATAATAGGTGAACAGTCCGAGCTTGAGATAGTTGAGGTAAAACTAGATGGTAAATATTAATAAATTGAAGTGAAAAACAAAGGCCTATTGTATCTGAATATTTTCTTTGAGTCACATTCAATAGAAATATTTTGGCCAGATGTACTTGCAGAAGGCTGACTAAAAAACTTGTCAATTTTGGACAATTTTTGTTTACTCTCTTCTCTTTCTTGGCGTTGTTTGCGTTTAAATGCACCACTGGGTTTCTTCTTTTTATTCATAGTTTTAGTTTTCTAATTTATTTAAACAATAAAATATTAGATTGTGCTCGAATAGGTAGATACTCAATGTTCACTGACGACGTTAAAAGTAAAATAAAAGGCATGAGAAACACACTGATACGCTACAAGTGTCGTTGGGGAATGACGCACATATCACTATCCATGCTTCTTTATATATTATACATATTATGTTTATTATTTAAATCGAATGTTTAAAAATATTTGTTTTGGTTGAACAATTTAATAAGAATTTTGAATGATTTAAAAAAAAGTTTAAAAATCTTTGAAAAATGAGTAAATTGATACTTTGTTTGACGTTAAATGCGGCAAACGCTTTTGATAAAGTAACTTGAAAAACTTTTAAATTGTTTTGTTTATAATAAAAAATATCCGATTAAATATACTTTTTTTTTTTAAAAATGTTTATATTATAGAAATAAAATAAAGACTTTATTTTAAATTTTATTGATTTTATTTTTTAATACTCATCATAGTTTGTTTGTTTTTTTACCGATTTCTACTTTTCTCTTGAAACATTTATATAATAAATATGTTAAAAGAAATGCCTATAAATATTTAAGAACTGTTATAATTCAATCTTATTAAAATGAAATTCAGCTAGCCATTAAAACTGAGCCCATGTTGGTATTTATCTTGGCAACTGGCATCAGGTTTTAATAGGCATGTTTTAAGAGGACTAGCATAAAAAGAGTCTCATTTATATCAGTTTCACTTTCAGAAGACAATGCAAGTGGAACATTTTTACATTTTGCCGAAAAATCCAAAAGAACTTTTTTTAAGGTTAAAAATTCATCCACACCCCCACCCCCTCATTGAGGCTTCTTTTTTCTTGACATCAACATAACACAATTGTTAAAGTATAATTACTACTGCTTGGCTAGTACTGTTTTACTGCTTTTATCACCATCTGGCAAACGATTGAAGATAACACTTAAATTTAATGGGCAAATAGTTTTTAAAACCACTAAGTTGCTGATTACCTTTTGAAGTTACTGATTTCCCAGTAAACACACAAGCGTTTATTAAACGTCAAAACAACGTTTCAAAAAAGGTTTAGATTTGGTCAATTATCCTTTTAGAATGAAATTCAGATTAACGTTTAAAACAAAGGTCCATATTCAAACATATTTTAGAAATCTATTATAGCATTATTATACGTATATAAAGCGTTTAGATTTTGTATAATTTACCTTTAAATCTAATTTAATTAACGTATATAAAGCGTTTAGATTTAATCTAAGTAAACGTATAATAAACTTTTAGATCTTGTCAAATAGTTTCTTTGAATTAGTTAACGCAATTTCAATTTATTTGAGTTTTAAAACTTATATAAATTAAAATTACATTGTAACTTTTTAGCATTATATAAGTAATAATAGCTATAATGAAATTTATAAATAAGATATAGTTATAAAAGTGATGATATTTATAAATAAGAATTTTATTTTTTTTTTATTTTATTTTATATTTCGCTGTTAAAATTAATATATATATATATATATATATATATATATATATATATATATATATATATATATATATATATATATATATATATATATATATATATATATATATATATATATATATATATATATATATATATATATATATATATATATATATATATATATATATATATATATATATATATATATATATATATATATATATATATATATATACTATTTGCATTTACTCCCAACAAGGCTGCAAGCAGGGACAGATACAGTAAACGAATGAGACTTAGCTGAATGAAGAGTAAAACGAGAATGAATTTTAGTTGATGGAACTAGAGATGATAACTCCTTTGAGCAGTGATCATGATAGTATTTGTAGAAAAGAGAAAGAGATGCAACTTTACGACGATGGGAAAGATGTTCAAGCTTAGCAGATAGTCCAGGTCCAACAACATTTACAATGCGTTTTTGGACCTTGTCAAGAAGAGAAAGTGAATCGTTAGAAGAACCAGCCCAAATATGACAACAGTATTCCATACAGGGACGAATAAGAGATTTGTAGAGGTAGAGAATGGAATCAGAAGTAAGGAAATGACGAGCACGATAAAGAGAAGCAACCTTAGCAGAAGCTAATTTAGCAATCAATTGTATATATGGTTTCCATGAAAGGTCAGTAGTAAGCGATAATCCAAGAAAACGTAAAAAGGAGGACTCAGTAAGAGGATTGCCATTCATTAATATAGGAATGTTGACCATATTACGGTAGTTGTTTGCAGTAAGCAATTGGGTTTTTTTAGAGTTGAAATTCACAATCCACTGTGAACCCCAATCTATTACTGAGTTGAGATCGGATTCAAGATCAGCTGCTTGTTCTAGGCGATCGAAAAGAGAAGACTTTTTGTCAGGAGTATAAAGTTGAGTCATCAGCAAAAAGAACTACTGAAAGGTTGTCAGGAAGATCGTTTATGTAGATCGTTTATATATATATATATATATATATATATATATATATATATATATATATATATATATATATATATATATATATATATGTATATATATATATTTATATATATATATATATATATATATATATATATATATATATATATATATATATATATATATATATATATATATATATATATATATATATATATATATATATATATATAAAATAAACTAAAGATATAACAAGAAAAACTTATTTTAACAAATACTAAGATATTTTGCAATAAGTATATTACAATTTTAGGTATTCATAAAAATAAATACAAACATATACAGAAAGATTTGATAATTAATACATTAAAAGAAACGTATATCATTGGTAACTACTAAGAATAATAAGTATTAATTTGAATAAATTTACAAAATTGTTTTGGAACTATTATTCCGCAAAATTAAAAATATGTTTTTTTACTTGAAACTTAAATAAGTTTAATGATTTTACCATATTTGCATTAGTTTTTTGAAAAGAATTCCATAACTTAGGTCCTCGATATGCTATTGAATATTCTGTATATTTATTTAATTTCCTTGTAAGTTTAAAGAAATTTGATCAATTTGTTATTAAAAAATACTTTTCATTTAAATTTTTCTCAAACTTACAAATAAAATTAGCTGGAGTTAGGTTATTAATATATTTATACATGAAAATTAAGTGCTGATAAAAATTTATTTCGTATACATTCATCATTTTCATATTTCTCATTAAGGGTTTAGTAAGCTCTCCTCTTTTTTTCCCGTAAATAATTCTACACACATGTTTTTGCAAACTATGTATTTTTTTAAGTTTTGATGGTTGTGTACTAGCCCATACAATATTAGCATAGTTAATGAAACAATGAATTAAAGAAAAGTATATTAACTTTAGACAAACTGTATTTACATATGGAAGAACTCGGTATATCAGACCAATGGTTTTACTAACTCTTGATTGTAAATATTTGATATGGGGAAGCCAAGATAAATTATTATCAACAAGCATTCCTAAAAAACTTTATATAGTCTTGCTTTTTTATTTCTATGTTATTTAAAGATAGGTCTGGTAATTTAAGGGGAAGATTTTCTTGCATCTTTTTATGACATAAGATATACTTATGTTTTTTCAACGTTTAATGAGAGTTTATTCGTCATAAACCAGTCATGTATCTTATTTAATTCAAGATTTATTTCTGCATAAAGTTGTTTGATACTATTGTTGGAAAAAAAAAGGTTCGTATCATCCGCAAACATAATTGGTTTAACTTTACTGATGCGTTATTTAAGTTATTTACATAAACTAAGAATAAGAGAGGACTAAGTATTGATCCTTGCGGTACTCCACATTTTCGGTTGATGCTAACTGGTACTCCACACGGGGTTTTAAGTATTCCGTATTCTTGATTTAGAACATATTGTTTTCTATCCGTGAGGTAACTTTTAATCCAATACTAGACTTTATTAGTTATTCCATAATGCTTCAACTTTCCTAACAATATACAATGATCAACAGTGTCAAAAGCTTTTGAGAGTTCGATAAATATACCTAAAGTAAATTTGTTTTTGTTAAAGTCATTATTTATTTGATCAGCTGATTCAATAATTGCATGTTCAGTTGAATGATTTTTCTGAAATCCAAATTGTTTTGAATAAAAGATATTGTTGAATAAAAGATATTTTAAAATGATCAAAGATTGTAAATTACACGTATATTACTATTACTATTTAAAATTGTAAATTACTAGATATAAAAGTTATAAAAGGCCTGGGCTTATTGTTTATATTTTTTTATAACTATTATAATATGTTTATAAACTTTTATACTATACTACTTGTACTATACTTTTATATTATAAAACTATATATAAAATTATAAAATTACATTAAACGTTTTCATTTAGTGTGTAAATGGATTTAGAGAAAAAATGTTCGCGCACTATACTTGTTTATGCTTTGATAATAAAAAAAAAATTAAATGATCAATCTTTTTGCAGTGGACAATTTTTATTAAAGTTTCTAAAAATTTTTGCAGTAACAATTTTTATTAAATATTTTTTAAATTTAATCTCATTAGCAGAAAATAAAAAGTTAAGTTAAAGGTTACTAAGAAAATTAATAAACTCATAAATATATATTTATATTGTACTAAATATATATTTTGGATCACTGTATTCTCTGGTTTATGCATTATCAAAAATTTTCCTAATATACCGTCTACTGCTTATTATCACCAACCCTAATTTTGTGCAACATCATCTTCGTGTCCTGATCGTCTGATTTCGTAACCTGATTGGTAACCGCAAAAAATTAGGGTAAAAAGTTAGCATTTTAAATGTAAATTCATAAATCAAAATTGAAATTACACAGAACAGCTTTACATATAGAGGATTTTCTGAATGGAGGTTAAAACGAAAATATTCTTTATTTCACTGTGTCAAGGGTGCGTCATTTTAAAGTCCGTCATTTATTTTATATATTTCATTAAAATTACTACAACTGATTGTAGGTAGTCACGCTCTTGTCAATTTTTATTTGTTTTTGATTGATATAACAACATTAGACTCTAAATTACTCTAAAAAATCTAATCTTATCTTTAATTTAGAGATAAGAAGATTAAGATTAAGAAGATAAGACAAATTGTTTGCTTATTATGTTTGAATGAAGCAATAAATAATAATTTTCACGAGTATTCATGACTTTAATATAAATATTTACTTATAATATTTTATTAAAATATATTACATTGAAATATTTAACAGATGTTATCTGTTATGTTGGTGGCAGTAATACACAATTTGTTGAAATTATTTCCATATCTATATTTTTGTAATACTATGCGTTTTTGAATCCCTACTTTCTAATACCTATATATATATATATATATATATATATATATATATATATATATATATATATATATATATATATATATATATATATATATATATATATATATATATATATATTATTTCGTCTTAATTATGCCTATTTAAACCGCGTGACTTGGGCTGTTATGTGTGTCTTCCGATCAACGGTTATATTACTATATTATAATACAATATACGTTTATTAAACGTCATTCAAACGTTTAGAATGACGACTTTTGTTGATTTAAACTTTGCAAATATGAAATAAATATACATTGATTCGTTTACAATGTATAAAGTAAATTACCGTACATATAATTAGAACTTTTTTTAATGTAAGTAATAAATTTAGCACAAATATTAAATATAAATTTAGAATAACTGTCAATATTGAACATGTTTATAAAGTAAATATAGTTAATAACGAAGGAGATATATATTTTTTAATTGTCTGTACTTTTTTGGAACAAGAGGTTTATAATTGATTTCTCTTTTATTTTTTATGAGGGCATAAAATGCAACATCAAGAGATTGCAATACATGGGTAGAGTTATTAGTTACCAGAACAAGGTATAGAAGGTATAGAACTGTTTTCTTCACGACAAGATACTACTTTCTTTATTTAATTCAAGTACTTTTTTACTCAAAATATTGCTTAGATTATAACTAATAAGAACTTTAGTTCCTGTAATTTGACAAAAATACAATAACAAACCATTCAAAAAAGCGAATAAAATCAAATCTTCGATTGAATTATACATTGTATTGTACATACTTTTCAAAAAACAACTTTTTTATATAATAAACACTTGGCCATCGGTATTTTTTTGCTTGAAAGTATATGAAATTAAGATCAAATTATTTTACTAAATTATTTAATAAAATAATTTGATTTTAATTTATTTAAACTGTATATACTCATTTTCTTATAATAATTTGCGACATATAAATAATTTAATAGGTTTGTTATCTGATAATATGAATACGCTAATTTAATATTATTATTATTAGTCGAGTTACGTCATTTTCTAGGCTTTTCTATTTTTAAGTAGTTTCTAGGCTTTTCTATATGCGGGTTTTTTTTTTTTTTTTTATTTACTAACAACGCGTATTACGGGGTGCTTACTGCTAGTATTAAATAATTCTTTTAAATATAACAAAATTTGTTATAACTTATACACTATTAAAAACGAATTCGATATTTAAGCGCTTATTATATTCGCGTCAGGGTTTTATAAAAAACGCGAAACCTGGATTTGCTCACTTGAAAAAAGTTTCAACCCAACAGTTTTTCATTAGAAATTTTTAAACAAAAAAGTTTTTAAAGTTTGATATTTTCTTGTATTGTATTTTTAAAAACAAGAAAAAAAGTACAACAATGTCTGATTATTAGGTATACAATTTTTGAGAAAATAATTGCTTTATTTTAAAATTATATATAACATTTTATTAATATATTACTTTAATAATATTATGAATATTAAGTCATGAATACATTTTTTTTTTTTAATTTGATCAACAACAACACTGGTATTGAAAACAATAATATTGAGAAATATTATTTTTCAATTAATATAATCTAATTTATTTAAAATTGATATTAATTGTTTTTTACTAATCTTATATCTTAATATAATAATATCGACATAATGTTAATATGATGTTATTATATAACAATAATAACAATAACAACAATAACAATATAATAATAACAATAATAAAAATAATAATAGTATTATAAAATTTTATGTTTAGGAAAAAGAAGAGACTTTATTCTATCTGAGCTACCAACTCTTGGTGCTTTTCTCTGTAAAGCTATACTCATTAAAGAGTTGTCAGAAAAAAAAAGTATATCTATTAGATGATTTGGTTAGGGAAACAAGATTGGATGTTGTTAAACATTGGAAAAAAGCAAACAAAGACTTTTCATCTCCAGTTATTTTCACAGATAAGTCTATTGAAAGAAAGGTAAAAAAAGTTTATAATGATGTTCAGGATATTTGCAGAAAAAGATGAACCAAAAAAGTATAAATTGACAAAACAACGAAGTTTATGTCATGATTGTTTTATATAACTAACTGCAAATGTGCCATTTTATTCTGTAACGAATCAAGTTGTCTAAGATGCTAGGATGTGAAATAAAAGTTCATATTGACTGTAAATGTAAAAAGTCAGTTAGGATTTCAATTATAGAATTTGAATTTATTCACTTGCAGAGAATAAAAGAAGGAGAGCAGTCTCAAATGATCAAAAGGCTTTTGAGCCTTTTGATCATTTGAGACTGCTCTCCTTCTTTTATTCTCTGCAAGTGAATAAATTCAAATTCTATAATTGAAAAAGTTCAAGAAAAAAGAATTGATAAATACAAGACATTTGAAAAGAACCTATGCTGAGGTTTTAAAAAAAAAGTAATGACGAGAAAGAATACTCTGAACATATTGATTTATTAATCATAAGTAATTATTTCAAAGTACAGCGAAATTTATATATGAAGATTCAAAATACTGCTATTGCTGCAATAAGATATGAAGTTTCAAACACAACTGCAGCTGCAATTTTTTCAGGACTTTAAAAAGATTTGGTGGAGGTTAAATTTGTTCTAGAACCAGCTCTTTTTTTATTTATGGATAAAAACAAAGTGCATAGATAAAGTTATGTCAGAGTGTCAGGTTTTTTCACAGAACAGATTAGAGTTTGTTTCCTGTATTCCCTTTGATGATGTTTCCTGTATTCCCTTTGATGGAAGAAGAGACAAAACTAATTTAATGACATTTAATGAAGAAACCAAAATTTTTATTCTTAATTAAATAGGAAGATTGCTATACTTTGACTGATGAATATGGTAAATATCTTCATCATTTAAACAAAGGAGAAATATGAAAAACAAAAAATTACACCTGGCGAACATATAGCAAATAAAATATTTCAATGTTTTATTTTGCATGGTGTTGAACATAGCTTAAAGTTCATTGGTTGTGATAGCACAGCTACAAAACTGGTCATAATGAAGGTTTTATTCATTTTTTAAAGGTTAAATTAGAAAGAAAATTAGGGTTGCTATTATGTTCTCTTGACACAAACAAACTTTGCTTTAGGCATTTAATAGAAAAGCTTGATCGGAAGACAACCTCAAAGACAGGGTTTTCTGGAACTATTGGTAAGTTTAAGGTTTTTAAGGTTACTGAAATAAAAATTTCAGTTCCAACCTAATATTTATAGGTTCTGGTTTAATTAAACTTGGTGAGGAAATAATAAAAGAGTTATCTTCAGATCAAAAATATGCAAAAATATGCCAGACAGTAATTTCAGGAACTCTTACTGAAGGTTTGGCTAACCAAAAACCACGCACTATAGTAAGAAACCTAAAGTTATTTGTTAAGTTTCATGTATCAGTATACTTACCTATGAGATTCCAAATCAAAGTAAAACATAGTTTGATAGAAGGGCCATTTCAAGATAAAAATGTACAAAAAGTTATTAAAAAGTATGTGAGAAAATGTTCAGAATGAGAGTTCCAGCTTCCGAAATCTTATTTCATTCCGAAATCTTTTTCTATTTCGAAATATTCAAAAAATTTCAAAATATTTAAAATCTTATTCTATATTCCGAAATCTTATTCCATTCCAAAATCTTACTAAAGACATTACTTTGCAGCGAAAATAAATTTGAAAGGGAATTTACCTTTAACAAAATTTTAGAAAAAATGAAGAAATGTGGAAATATGAACTCTAACTCCTAGAATATATATAAGCTTCTTCATTTAAACCTGTATGCATCCAAATTGGCTGTGTTAATAACATGGTAAAAGGCCTATTAACCTATCTTAATCTGTTATATGCACATTAATGAGCTAAAAATAACTCTGGTTTGTCCTACGGTAGTTCCGTATTTCCAAGTTCACACACAAATAGTTGAGAGGGGAGTTAAAGAGGTAAAACTATTGTTGAGGTTAGGGAAAATAAAATTTAAGTTCTTTGCCGAAAAAATGTTATTTAAGAACGTAACAAACCTGTAGTTAAAACGGGGAGACAAATTATAAGGTTCAACCAAGCAGTAAAAATTGTCCAAAACTTTGATATTTATACCTAGTATTGACGTATTCAAAAACGATTACTTTACGTAGATTATGATTTTTGTTGTGATTACTACTTGGTAGTTGGAACAGTTGTTAAAAGCTTATCCAGTCAATTTTTAAGAGAGTAATTTATTTTGATTACAGCTTACTAAGGTTACAAACTTCATTTCAAAATTTTCTTTTTTCGATGCAAAAGACGCCATTTTGATTTGCTTAAGACTGTACTACAATTTTAAACGATTTTCGGTTTCAATCTCCCTCCAGTCTATTATACCGCTTTGGTATAACACACATACATATACACATATAAAAAGTATATGTGTGTATGATTTACTATTTATACATATGATATATTATTTTTAAACATAAAAACATTATTTATTATACATGTATGATAAGGTGAATCTTTAAATAGTTAGACGTTTCTGGCAATGTTGTGGAGCTACTTTGAACGTTATTCAAAAGTATGCACAAAAATGTATACAACAAAGTATCTTATTCTGTAGAAATGGAACATAACTATAGTAGGCTAACGAACTTCTTTAGATTTTGCATGCTTTATAAATTTATTAACAAGAATTAGTAAGTAACTTAGGCAACAAACTGCAACTTGATTGTTGCAGTTACCATTGAGGCAGTGGACAAAGTACTTTGACTAATTATTTTTTGAAAAAGACATCCAAATTATTTAAATCTTTTTTCAAGGAACAAGTGCAACCACTAAACAAAATAAGTTTTATATAATCAAAATATAAACTATTTTTGATACTTTGATATTTAAGGTTGATTAGTTTCACATAAATTCTTGTCATAACAACAAACTGAAAAAAAAAAAAAATTGTATTCAAAGTTACCCCGCTATTTAAAGCAATTTTGGTTTAGGGTAAGCTGATTAAGCAATCATTTTCTGCAACAAATTTTGAGAAAATCTTTATATTATTTTTTTTTTCCGCGTACTGCTTTGAAATGAATTTTGAGAAAAAATTTATTTCATTTCAAAATCCATTTCAAAGCAGTACGCGGGAAAAAAAAAATATAAAGATTTTCCCAAAATTTTTTGCAAAAAATTAATTTTAAAGTAAATTTAGATCTTTTAAATAAAAAATTTTGAACATATATTTTCCTTAATTAATTGTAATTAGACCGAAGCGCGTTTACCAAAGAAGTTGGTTCAAGTTTATCCAAGGACTAAGCAATTCAACATGCCGGGAATTTAAGTAAAAGTTTGGTAGTATTTTAACCCCAAAAAAATGTTTTATTTACCGGATCATATTTAAAATTATCGCGCCTAGTTTATAATTTTTATAATTTATATAATTTTTATAATTTTAGTTTATAATTTTTAATAATGTAGGAGTTAAGTAGGATAAGGTTTAAATAATTTTTAACAATAAATTAACAATTTACTGATTTCTCCGAAGATTTTTTAAGTTTCTTCTATCCATAATACATTCTAATATGAAACAGTTTTATGAAAGCTTTTATTGTTTTAAAACAGCTAAAAACTATATACCTATAGGTTTTCATAAAAGTATATATACTATATATTTTTATGGAAATCCCTCAGTCATAGCAGAGGAGTATGTGAAGCTCAGGATGTGCATAGTATATATACTTTTATGAAAATCTATAAGTATATGGTTTTAAAACCTATTATAAAAATCATTACTTAGTTAACTATGTTAAAAAAGCATAAAAACCTATTGATCGATTATTGTAGAAAATTGACCTTAGCTTCACATTCTCACATGTGAGAATGTGAAGCTGAGGTCAATTTTATACAATTAAAAAGTAGGAAAGATTTGCAAAATAATCGATCAATAGGTTTTTATTGCAATTGGTTTTTTAGCAGATGTTAAAACAGTCCGATAAAATTTACTGTTTAATTTCTATTATTTCCTTATTTGTTTAACTATATGCTAGTTTATTATTTCTAAAGAGCAAAAAATATATTCTTGTATAAAGTTTATAATATAAATTATAATTTCTACTATTTATTATTCGGAAACTAAAATCTGATGCGCTGAGAAAAGAGTTAATAAAGTTTTTAATTATGTAATATCGAAACCTTATCTTCAAATTTAAATTGCAAAATTTTAACTGATAGTTGACACTTTGTCAAATTGTATTAAACATGTAATAGACATTTACTGACGTTGCGGTGGTATTTGATGATTATTTGTTTTATTCAAATACAAAATGGGAAGAACTATTGTCTTTGAAGTTGGGTATGACATTAATTTTCTTTATTTTTTTCTTTTCTTGTGTGTGTGTTTATTTTTGTTAAAACCTGAAAAATATCAAGTATTTTTATTTCGAGGTTGTTTTTTTGCTTTTGTTTATCTTTTTGCGCAACCAAATGATGCTATATAATATTTTTTTACGATACAGGAGAGTAAGAAACCATTTAATTTATAAAAACTTTGTATCAATAAAAGAAACTTTTTCTTTAATAATCAACACTTTTTTAAAAAAAAAGTTTTGTAACAGCATCAAAATTTTATTAAGCGTTAATTTTTTGCGACTGTATTTTGGAGAAGATTGATTGCAAACATGCTTTTTTATTATCATTACATTTTAAATAAGCAAACCCTTGTATGATGTAAAATATATCACGTGACTTTATAATATTTTAGAAATATATATATATATATATATATATATATATATATATATATATATATATATATATATATATATATATATATATTATAATATATAAGAAATATAATATATATTATATTATATATAAAAGTTACGTGATTGTTATTAGGAAAAGAAATAAAGCGTAAGGTCACGTTGTCAATACCGTTAAAACTTTCAAGCGCTAAAATTTCATATAATAAAACGTTCACAAAATAAATTAAGAAATTTACAATGAAAGATAAGAAAAAAAAGATCTCAAGCTAATATACTTGCAGATAATAAATAACTTAGAATTGAGACAAAAAGATTCCGTTATAAATATAAAGAGGCGTTACACAGATATAAGATTTATTAACCAAGAGAATTAAATAACAATCAAAAAATCGTTAAATTTACAAATTTTCTTAAAACTTTTTTAATTTAATTTTACAGACTGTACGTGCCTTAATAAAAAGTTTAATTAAATTTTACATGCCTGCAAAATTAAATTAAACATTATATTAGGGGTTACTGTTGTGATTATACTTAATAGCATTAGTGTAAAAAACCACCATATTGCGCGGAGGCGCGTCTAATCTCATTAATAGAGGCGTGCTTGCTCAAGCAGTAGTCTCTGCAGGGTTACTCTAAAAAAAGTCCAATTTTAAATTGATTTTGTTACAAAAAATTTTAACAAAATCTCTTTAAAAGATAGATGACAAATAACCCATTCGATATCCTAGATACCTTTTATAACAAAATTTATTTTTTAGATATTGGCAATCTTGGAACATTAAATTGAAAAATAGCATATTTAACATAGCCATACTGAAAAATAGCATATGTAACATAGCCATATGCACAACGAAGCTTACAAACACTGACTGAGAGTTTTGTTTTAGGTTTTGCATTATTTTAATCCAAAGAAAAATTATCCTTAAACTTTTAATTAAATTATGTTTTCCGTTTTTTTTCACGCACTTTATCCAGCATAATTCTTGCGAGTTAGTACAGGCAGATTTCTGCAAATTTTTTTTAATCTTACTTAAATGTAACCTAGTGGGCACAAGACGTTATTATTGTTACTTATGTAAATGTTCACCGTAATTCAATATTATTTGATAAAATGTCCTAATATACAGAAACTTTATAAACAAAATTTAACGCAAACAAATAACTATTTTTAATAGCAGTGGCTCTTTATATTTTCATATCAATATTTAGATTTTACTTTCATTAGTAAAAGAATGTTGTTTCTCCACAGACCTCAATATTTTCTGGAGGCCGGGGCAGTTTAAGATTCTCTTTTTACTTTGAGGCTGCTTTTAAAATGTGCAAATTATATTTTTAACAATAACTGCAGCTTGGTCCTGAAACCCATCGAAGTAGTAAAAACTCAAATAAACTGAATCTAGATTGAATGAATGAAAGCGCTAAGGATTTTGATGTGTTTTGCATTACTTTTGACAATAACTGATCCATACCATATTAATTCAATAACAAAAAAAAAACGTAAAAGTTTTTTTTTTGTATTGATATTCAATTTATATATAAAAAAAATTCAATTTCACTGATTATTAAAAAAAAAAGTTTGCAGATAATTATTTAAAATATGAAAACTTTGACTAATGAAAAGTCTTGTAGAAGAAATAGATACCAAAAATCGTGCATTTTATTTTTCATGAGCCAATAGAAACTTCTTTTCATGAGTCAATAGAAAAGCCTTTTACAAATAACATTCATGCTTTTTTTTAGAAACGTTATTACGTTCAAAAAAAAATCCATTCTATCGTGTTAACACGATAGAATGGATTTATTTCTTTGAACTTTGAATGAATTTTTTTCTTTGAGGTTAAAATTTTAACCTTTTTTTTCACAAACAAAAGAGATAAAAAAAATTTTACTAAAAATTGTATAATTACTTTGAAGAATATCTTTTAGTAAATAAGAATAATAAGTTTTTTTTATTTAAGACAAACAATTTTTTGTAAACAATACATTTTTTGAACTTATCATTTTGAGCTCATCGTTTTTTGAGCTCACTATTTTGTTTTTTATAAAACTAAAAAACACATGTTTTCATTAATGTTCGATAACGTGGGTTACTTATGAAACTTATAAACTTTTTTCCTAAAAAATAAAATGCCCAAAGAACTTTGGACATTTTTGAAAACTTTGGGCATTCAAAAGACGTCCAAAACGTTCAAAAGATTTTTAAAAGACGTCTAAAACGCTTATAAGACGTTTAAAAGACGTCTTTTTTACGTTCGTGCTCACTGGGTTTTACTCAATAATTGGTCAGCTTTACGTGAATAAAAACATAAGCAGTTTTGCTCAAATATTTATTCACGTAAAGTTAAGCCATTTTCTTAGTAATTTTTCAGCTTTACGTGAAACTAAAGCATAATTGGTTATGTTTTTATTCACGTAAAGCTGACCAATTACTGAGTAAAAGCAATTGCTCATTTTCAGAATCCGGTTTTTTTGATGTTGCCAGAAATTTCTTTCACAAACCCGTACCAAACACGCACATATTTTCTGTTAGTAGTTTAGAGTTGACATTTTGAAAGCAAGTGTTTCTAGTTAATCGCATCTTCTTTTTACTTAAGTATTAAAAAATAATCAAAAAATAATAATTTCGTTGTAACTTAAAAAAATAGATTAACACAATCCATTATGTGAATTTCACCTGTGAAAATTACAGCTGATATTCATAAATATTTTAAAATATTATTTGTTTAATATACAAAATTCTGTTAAAAAGAATTGAAAAATTATTACATATTTTATATAAGTTATAACAAAAAAGTCATTTTTCTGTTTTCAAATGCTGTCTCATCGTTTTTCTTTTTTGTGGTGTATGATTTATAAGCACATATGGCCAATATTACAGCACATATCATTCCCACCACAGTAATCGTGATAATTGTTGGAAAACTCAAGGCGATAGAATCTACAGAAATAAATTGTTAAAAATAAATATTGCAACAATTATAATAACATTTATTTATATCATGATATAAATAAATATATTATATATTATAAATACATAATATGTTTGTAAACTGCAGTTTTTAAACCTTTAAAAAAAAAGATACCTTCTGTATCTTTTGAAGATTTTTTTTCAAAAGGAATTCCTGTATAACCCAATATTTCGTTTTCCTTTTCAAAATCGATTTCATTTATAACGCTTGGTTTTAAACTTGGATGTATTGAATAACCTCCTGATATAAAAGCGATTTCACTAATCAGCAACCACGTGCTGGATTTTGTAAATACAAGTTTAATAAATCTAGCTTCAGCCTCAATATTTATAACTATAGCAAATGAATCACGTTTTGTAACTAAATCACTACTAGGAGTATATCTTTTAGCAAAGTTATACTTTTGTCCGTTGTTGCTGAACTCGATGTCAACATGGCTAAATATTTTTGCATCGTCATCTTGATTCTTTATGTAAATCATAACTTTGCTTATAAGTTTTTTTTTTATAAATTGAAATGTAATCTCGGGTCTAAATGAATTATATCCAACCCAAGCTGATTTATTGTCTTTTAACTCACTATTTCTATATATATCATCGGTAAGCTTTCCAAGACCACCGAACAAAGTTCCATTTTCTGTCCATCCATCGTAACTAAAGTCTGTGAAGTCACTCCCTTCACGTATCCCGCCATTTTGAGATGCATAACTCTTAAGACCAGCTAAGCAAAAAAAAAAAAAAAAAAAATCATATATATATATATATATATATATATATATATATATATATATATATATATATATATATATATATATATACACATATACATATATATAAATTAAAATATATAAAAATATTTTATGGTATATTAAATTACACGCATCATGTTTCCAATCGCAACCATACAACTCTAATCTTAAACAATGTATTGCAAACTCATCTCCACGAGGATAAAGACGAATTTTTCTTGCAATGATTGGCTGCATAAAATAATTTTTTACGATATTTACGGAGTCTAGATTACCATCAAACATCTAAATACATTTAATAGGTAATAAATTGTCTAAGATTAAAATGTACAAAAATAATAACGTTTAGAATATATAGATATAGTCAAATTTTTATATACAAAGATACGAAAAAAAATACTTTGTTATGCGAACCTTCCAAACCCCTGACTCATTGTATTCTCTGTAATCAGTTCCCCCATCATCACGGAGATAATAGATTTGATATTTTTCAACATACTCGTTAGACTTGCTCTTACCCTGTGTGGCAATTGCACTTATTCTTTTATTTTTCAGAAGATCAACTTGAATATACTGATCTTTATAAGTTTCAGAATCAGCCGAACACCAACCTCCACTTGATTTGTTATAGTTTAGACGCCCCAAGTACGGCGCATAATGAGTGTTTTTAGAAGTCTCGAAATATAACCAGTGAGATGCTGTAATTTGATCGTCATGTATTAAGCCATTTTCCATACCCAATGGCAAATCACAATCGGCTAAATTTTGTGGAACAGAAAATGTATTCACTTAATTTGCTACACTATGTATATATGTATGTATGTATGTATGTATGTATGTATGTATGTATGTATGTATGTATGTATGTATGTATGTATGTATGTATGTATGTATGTATGTATGTATGTATGTATGTATGTATGTATGTATCTATAAGTGTCTCATATAAAAAGTAGCTTATTTACATCTTATTGCGGTGATCCAATGATCAAAGGCAAGTACAAATACAACTAACTTCATATCTATAAAATGAAAAATGACTAAATAAAATTGGTCAGTAATAAAAACTTAAAAATGAAATAATATATAATCAACAAAATAAATTATTTCATTATTTCAGTATTACAGTAAAGCAAAATCGATAGCGATAATTACATCGATAACTACGATATATCGAAAATGACATCACAACAGTAAAACAAGAAAATAAGATAAGAACAACTTAAAACATGTCACATTGAAATAACTCAATATAAACTAAATATACTATAAAAATAAAAAAATTACAATATGTTAAAGCTGTTATAATGAATTTATTTATTATTAAAATTACTTTATTATTTAAAAATATTAAACAAATATAATACTATTGCAATTATAAACAATATAAGATATAAATACTGTAATACTTCATGATAATTATTTTGTGCAAATTGAAGTTGCAATAAATTATTTTTATGCTAAATCCCAATGAAAGGTTACTAAACATATAAATCCGTTATTTTTTGTATGGCTTTTCATATACAAAAACCATTCAAAAAGAAACAGTTTTTAAGCTTATCCCCTATAGTTCGCTGTGCGAATTAAAGTTGTTGGATTTTATTGGTCTAGCAAATAGAATATTTTGCTCAAACACCAACTAAGCTAAAATATAAAGACGATTGGGTCGTCAGACTTTGTAATTATAGCCTTGAATGGCCTTGAATGGCCATTCTGTAGAATGTAAATAAAGTGTGAAAATTTAACAAAAAAATATTTTAAGAAAAAGAAAATATACTAACCCATCAGCTTTGAAACAATAAAATATTTAACCATTAATATTTGTTTAAGTATTTAACTCTTTTTAAAAAAAAATAATACTGCTGCATCTGATGGCGTTTTATACTTTATAAGAACTTGGAGCCGAGCGCAGCATGACGTTTAAAAAATATTAAACAATGTGATTTACAATGGATTTGTGAGTAAATAATTCAATTTGTCTTTGCAATTTAAAACAATGTGCTCATACATTTAAACCCGTAAAAAACTATAAACTTCACAATAAAAATATAATTTTTACTTATTTCTCACCACACTTTTCGCATTAAGTTTGTATGCCTCTCCCCACCACGCTCATTAAGTACAAAGAAAACTTTCTATTGCCTTAATGACATCACTCATTTTCTACTAGCTAATGCTATTTGAAAAAACAAAAATGTTTGAATCAACAAAATATTTCTCTTCAAAGCGGATTGTTTAAACGTACCAAGGGGTGCTTAATTATAGAGTGAATGTTAAACATTACATTATAACAAATAAAGACAACAGAAATGATGACACCAACTCTCATAATTCGGAAAGATAAAAGAGTTTTATATATATTTTTTTTCATAAATTTTTTTAATGTTTTTTATAATAAATCATTGCCACTAATAGTTTTAAATTTTGTTTTCGATTTTTTAATTTCTTCTTCATTTTTTGATTAAGGTGAAGATTATCAAATCCATACATAACAATTTATACGTTTAACAAAGTAGTGTTGACACATTTTACAGTTGAAGAGTGCTTGGTGTCAGCAAAAAAAACATGAGCATACCCAATATCTTCAAGAAAGAGGTGTGAATTATTTTAAATGATACTTCCTGTTTACCATGCTGAAAAAAATTATCATAATTTCTTTAGATCAAAAAAAAATTACTTCTAATTTAACATTAAATATTGAAAAACTGGAGTGAAACACCCGGTTCTAATCCACAAATCCGTTTTTAACGTTTAAACAGTTGACCTTATCAACGAGTTTGTGAAATAAAGTCGGGTGTTATTCTCCAGTTTTAAATATTTTGTGTTAAAACAGCTGTCAATTTTTTGTTAAAAATAAATTGTTGACAAAAAATGGTTGATAATAACGTTACACTATATTATATTCACATTTTAACTATTTTTTATTTTGTATTAGTTATTTTTAAAAAATTTGCAGAAAATGAAGGGTAGAGTTTTCTTTTCAGTTTATTAATGTCAAATTAGACCTGCAAATACATTAGCTGCATTATTAGCTGCGCAAATAAATTAGCGCAAAAAAAAATTAATCGTCATTATCTAAAGCTTTTTTATTTACACTAAATAATAAAAACACGGTAAATTATGGAACTTTTGTGTAAAACCAGACAAATTCTTGTTTGTAGTTTCTGAGATATTGATATCTTTATTTAGAATATTATTTTCGGCTTTGACTTATACTTAACATAATATAGTGTCTAATGCATAAATTTAGTTCAATTTAATTGTTAATGAGTAATTAAAAGGTTTAAAGTAAAGATACCATAAAACACTCTTGACATATTGTAAAAAGAATTGGGCACAATCAGTTTAAAAAATAGCTTATTAGAGGTTATTAACCCTTGTTCAAACGTAATTGTGACAAGCGATAAAGTGCAATGGGTTTATCTATTTGGAGTTTCTAACAATGTCTAAAATGTTTAATAATGGATTAACCTGTTTTTATGGAGTGTCGGCAAGAGAGTGGTTATAAGATTCACGTGATGAATGATAAGAAAAAAGAAACAACTGAAAAAGCAATAAGATTAAAATTGTAAATGTAAGATAGACTTGACTTATCTGGGCCGACAACCCGGTTTTTTAAATGGGGGGGGGGCACAATCATTAATTTGTGAAAAAAGTCCCCTATATTAAGATTTTTCTTTAAAAAAAAAAAAATAAATAAAAAAAGGTCCTTTAGAAAAAAAGTGGGGGAATACGTGTTCCCTGCCCCCCCCCACCCCCCACCCCCCGGTGTCGTCGGCCTTGCTTATATGTAAGATATAAACTATATATATGAGACAACTATATATGTGAGAAAAACAACTATAAATGTAGGATAGACAATGACACTTTAAAAATTTGTTATTTATTATTTAGAAGCCATTTTAATTCAAAGTAATTTAAAGAAATTTACACGTTTAAAAAAGACTAGTAACAAAGTTGCTACCAAAAGCAAGCCAAACGTTTTATATTCTTGCATAAAAGTAAACATTGATATGTTATTTTAGTGCATTAACTATAAAATATAAAAAAATTTAATTGTAAAGAAAACAATTTGAAAAATAACATTTTAATTAGATAAAATTACTTCTGAGCCTAAAAAAATATCATGCAAGTAAACAAACCAATTAAATGCTACATTTGTAAAGTAATTTTACCTATAAATAATGTTAAAGATAATAATAAGAACAACTTTTATTCATTTATTGGATAATCAAGTCATTTTATCTTTAGATTGTCTAATCATAACTTAACAATAATGAAGTAGAAATAAAAACTACTTTTTGCAAATACTAAACGTTTGATAGAACATTATATTTAACGTATTATATTGAACATCATATTGATTGTTAATATTAAACATTTTATCCAACGTTTCGGTCTCTATTTTTATCAACGTGTTTAGCAAACAAATACAAATTCAATAAGGCCTAAGTACCTAAGCAAAATTAGATTCTGGTGAATAAAATTTTTTCAAATAGCTGCTCACAAAATATTGTTTCTTGAAAGATAATCCTTCTGCTAAATACAAATTATCATTAACAGTACCTGTAAAAACTTCTAGTAGTAAACATATGGACTAAACATTTTTTCAAATGAAATAAAAATAGCAAAACATCTGACATCTTTTAAAAAAATCTATTCAATTTTTCTTTATCATTTTTAATTTTTTCAGATTCACGTGTTAACTAAAGCTTTTAAAAGAAAAAAAATATTTCTGATGAACTTTAGAAGTTTTTACTTGCGATTCATGATGAAAGCTCAGACTTACAACCATAAAATTGAATTTTTGTCATAATATCTTTTATGTGTGTGTGTGTGTGTCTGTGTGTGTATGTGTGCGTGGTTCTTATTTCAAAAACGTCTTATGTCTTGTTATGGAGCTCTACAATTTAGCATTTGAGGAAGTTTTTCGCTTGTATACTTTGATACTTGTATCAAAGTATACAAGCGATAAAGACTCGTAATTTATACTTTTGCTATTTTTAACACAATAAATTCTTGTTTAAAATAACATTTTTTGCAAGTAGTAAAAGAGAATGAATGTCATGAATGAATGAGAATGAATATAAAATCAAAAACTATATGTTTTATAATGCGGAGCCAAACAAATGATAAGTTTTTGTCATTCTGCTTCTTTCATTCTAAAATTATTGCTCCATTTAGCAAAGAATTTAAGGTTAGGTTTTACTAACCTATATATAATAGCATATAAGAGTTTGATTTTGTTTGTTTTTTGTTGTTTTTTTTTTGTTTAATAATGTTTACTACTAAATTTAACATATTGCAGCTCTTTCATAACGAGCATATTGGTATGTATTTAAAAAAAAAACAATTAGGAGTAATTTTTGAATCATTGCCGGGGGTGAATAGGGACATTTTTTAGGGTTTAATGAATAATATTTTTGGCAAATAGGGACATTGATTAAGGGTAGTATATTCTAAATAAAACTAAAAAAAGCTGATACGAACACCATAGTTTATGGTATTAAAAAAAGGAAGCTGTCACCATTCTCTAAAGTCTAAAATTAATTTCAAAACATTTCTATGTTCAAGAGTTGGTTGGTTTGTAACGTGCCCGTAATTTGCAAGACGCAGAAATGCTCCAAGACATTCTTCCAAGTACAAAAGATAATCAACTCGGTCAAAATACAATTTCGGTTTTTTTCCTGAGTTATGGGTAAAATCGACAAAAACCCACACTGCCCCAATACATCGCAATATTGGATATTTTTTCCTGAAAAATTGAAATCAATTAAAATATATTAGTTTACGTTAGGTGTATGTTCTTTAGTTTCTTGTAATTTTATCAAAACGGCTTATGTAACAATTTGGTAAAGTTTTACAATTAAGTCTTCTGCTTTTCTGTGTGCAAAAAAAGTTTTTTCATACTTATTATTATTTATTTTTTTACATTTTTGGGCATATTTTTGTTACATGATTCACTGCATTAGGTAATGTAACAGCGAAACCAAAATTTTGCCAACTATATAGGTCCTACTTGATAGGAAAATAGGTCCGTTGGTCTATTAGCTGTCCCTGTCACTTTATAGTCATCCAAAAATCTTTGCTCCTTTTTACGCATGTATAAAAACATACTGCATACTTAAACAGCTTTAATTAATTACTTTTGGTAAAAATTACGTTGCCAATTCTTTTTTAATAATTTTAAAGTCAAAAAATGAGTATTTTAACTTTTTATTTTAATTTGTAGCCATTTTATAAATCTTTTAATTCGAAAACTTTAATTCTTAGTTTTCGAAATTTATTTGCTAATCATTGATTTGCGCGTTTTTAAATAAAGGTTAGTAATGGAAGTGAGGCTAAAATGGCGTAATTGATTAAGAGCGTGCTTGTAAATGCGCATCTTTTAAATTTGACGTTTAAACTTTGCGCACTGTATTGATGAGCTTTATGGCGTGAAAAAAAAACGTGTTGAAGAAATTAAATTTCTTCCTGTGTTGTAAGATTTCTCGTAAGACTTTCATATTTTTATATGTAATTTTTAACAAAAAAAGAGTTTAACTACTTTTTACTGTTGATAAGATATGCTTAACATATCTCATCAACAGTAAAAGTGGTTTACTATCTCATTATGATATACATAGCTAAAAAAATGTATTAAATAGAAATAACTTTTCTTTTTTAAGTTCAGAAAAGTATTGAATTTCATATGGATAAAAATGTTCTTTTTTCGAAAAAAACTCATAGAGAAACTAAAGAAAAAGCTAAATAGTTATAAAGTTGTCTTTACACAAAATATACTGTAAAAGGAAGAGCACATGAAACAAAAAGCAGAAAGAGCTAAATTAATTCGAGTAAAAAAAACTAACTGTAAAATGCTAAGAAAATTAAAATATGTTATAAATATTAATTAAGAAAAAAAT